TCACTTTATATATGACAACAATTATAGATAACTGTGATCACAGTAAATGTCACGATGCGCAGGCAGCTGCCTGTTAATTGACAAGGTGTTGACATTTCTTTTTACTGTCTTATCAAAAACTATGTTTTAATATCTTGAATATTAATGTGTTACTGTCTCCATCGTCTCCAACACTTTGCTGGTTTTCATACAGCTATTACAAGTAAGGCAGTGGATATTTCAGTATAAATTGTCAGGTGCTGTCAGCAAGATACTTTATGCGCCTAGCAGAACACAAACAGTTTTCCTCTTCCTTTTTGTACAACAACCACCACCCCTCTTACCATTCTCTGAGACAACATTCACAGCCATTGTTGTTATATCTTGAATGCAGGCAGCCTGAAAGCCTTCAGTAGGAGGAGTGCTGTAGGTGCTCAGTCCAGTTGCTTTATTGATGTATATTGTCTTTCCCGACGAAACATCAAAATCTTGCAGCCAGTCGGAACAACACAAGTGACTCCTGGGACAGCCTGCGCTTGTGTTGTCTGCAGAGAATTCCAAGTTATTTGGGAAGGTCATATGGGGAACCTCAGTATCTTTCAAATTTTGTTCTGAGGATTCATTTAACGTGCTTTTACCTTTACAGATGATGTTAGTACAATCCTTTTTAGCAGGTAATGATAAAACACTGCTTGAAGAGACTGTATACTCCCCTTCTATGCTGCTGAATGGTGATAGGCTGACAGTACTTTTCATGGACTCTGCTCTCGTACCGTCTGATTGCGAGCGTGCATCCCCCTTAGAAATGCTGTAATTACATTCCCTCATTTCTTCCACTGAGGATTTATATGTTTGACAAGCACTGTACAAAAAATCATTATTTGAAGATTCAAGATCAAAACAGTAGTCCTCTTTTCTACTCAAATCTGTTTGGAATTGCTCACCAAATTGTTCTACTTCTTTGTGGTCACTTTTCATCCTGGACAGTTTGGATGATAATGATCCTGGAGATCTTTTACAACTTGTATTTTTTTTACTAACCTGAGAGTAATCAGACAATGTCAAAGGACTCTGACAAAGGGCTCGTTTGTCCTGTGACGTTTCTCCACCGGAGAATAAAGTCTCTTCCAAAGAACCAAAGACTTGGCTACTATTATTAGAATCTGTATCTTCCAAAGCTGGAGTTTCACAAGTGCTCACACTACCACGGTTGTCATTCTCATTCTCTGAAAAGTCACAATTAGCTTGTGAATTAAAAACTGGGAGACCAAATTCACTCTGCTCTGACAACGGTGTTGGTAGCGTACACTTGACTCTCCCATAATATCTCCTGAACTTTTCTAATGAACCCAGTTGTGTGGACAAGCTCAGCTTCTTAGAGGGCTGAGATCTCGGCACAGCTATTTGTCTTCTAGTGCTTTTTATAACTTTATTGTGAGGAATACCTGAAGAAGTTGCCAGCGGCAATTCTGTAACATTCGATGTCTCGTAATGGCTTTTACTGGTGGCAGTAGGCATAGCTATCCCCTCGCTCACCTGATTTGACAAAGTTTTGTTCTCTAACCACTCATTACCATCAGCCATGCATACTTCTCTGGTGTAAGGAGGTGTATATTCTTTATTTGTATTACTGGAAATATCCTTAGCATTTAAAGAGTGAATCGGAAAATGCACTTTGTGGCCAAAAGTACCCTTGGCACTGACAGGGCCAGGTCTACATTGCACGTTTAATGCAAGACTTGTTTCTGTTTGTTCACATTCATGTGGGGGCTCATTTTGCATAACACGTGTTATGAGGCCTGTAGAGCACAATTTTAATGGCATTGAACTAGCAGCCCCTCCTCCAGCATCATCTATCACTTCAGCTGTTGCCCCGTCTCCTCTTCTTGCATTACACAGTCTCATCAATGAACTTCCACAGACAGTTTCCGGTCCCATTGCTGTTTCAGTAGGGTCTTCTCTCTCAGACGGCAATTGAATAACATCGTTATTTAAGATATGGACCGTACTGCTTTTCTGCGCTACTTTGCCTTGCTGGCTTCCCACATCTTTTATGTAATTCTCTGCACAATGCTGCAGGTCACCACGACTGTCTATTTTTCTTGTTTCTGATCTGGCCCCTCCCCTAAAAAAGGAACGAAGATTTTCTGAAGGTTTCAGATGAGTATCAGATGCTTTTTGGGAACTGTTGGTGTCTTTTGGCTCCTGCTCTGAGATATTTGATATAATGAAATCAGAAGCTGTGTCATCTTTGCTGGGCAGTGGAATCTCCGCTTTGTTGTTTCTACATGGATCAGACGGTTCAGATTCAGCAACCTTCTGATTTGGGGTGATTTCAGTTTCCTGTAGATTTTTATTTGACTCCATAAGATTCAAAGACTTTTTTCCAGTCACGGATTTCCTTTTGACATCTTTTGATTGGAAGTTACACATGTCATAGGAATCCACAATTTCATCACACGCTTTCTTAAAACTGTCTTGGATGCTCTTCTCGTCAGAGAGTGAGGGCTTCAGAACTGGAGCGTTATACAAACAAAAGTCATTATCTTCATTAAATTCTCTGATGTCCTCACTACACGGTTCAATAAATAAATGTTCCCGTTTCAAAAATATCTTCACTCCTTCCTCTATGCAAGTTAGAAGAACATCCCAGTTCTGGAACTCGATTAGAGTTTTTGCAGGTTCCAGACACACATCATAGTCACTGTACGCACAGGTCACATTGAGAATAAAGATCCCGTACAACTCTGGGCCACAACGATGGCGACCAGGACTTGAAGTAGGCTGTCTGCTTGCAGGGCCACTTTTTGCCTTGCAAATGACACTTTCTTTTCTTAATAAAAAATCAATTAGTTTATGTAGTCTTGTCTTTAAAACAAGCCTTTTATTCACATACAAGAACTGCATATTCTTGTTGTAATGTCCTTCAATACTGATATAACCACTTAGCTCAAATCCCCCAGACTTATGATTTATTTCTCGTAACTTCTGCGATCTGCCCAGTCCATAAATTTGACAAAACCGAGAGTATACATCTCTCGTCTTAGGGAGCTGAAGCACCATAGAACAAGAAGCGTCGTTCCTTAAAGAAAGTGAAACAGAGGGATGCATCAGCGAAATAGCCTCTACTTTCTGTCTCACTCTCTCAAATTCCAACAGAGGACCCATACACTTTCTCCTCACCGGTAACTGATGGAACAGATTACACACAGTCACTGTAGTTCCACCACTTGGTCTGCTCAATTCAGCTTCGCAGACTTCCAGTGCTTGCCCATTGTGAAATAGTTTCACAAAAGTTTTTGCTGTCCTGCTGGTCTTAGATGAAACTTCCACTACGCTGGCCATGTTGGCTATGCTTGCCACAGCCTCCCCTCTAAAGCCGTAGAACATCAGGTTCTCCAAGTCTCCCACTGAGTTGCACTTGCTGGTGAAGTACCGCTTTCCCATTGCATTTAAGTCCTCTCTCCCCATCCCGGAGCCGTTGTCCACCACCTGGATCTTAAAAGCTTCCAAATCCACCCTGATAGCTACACATGTTGCTTTGGCGTCAATGCTATTGAGGACAAGCTCCTCAACACACTGCCCCAGTGAGTTGATAGTCACTCCAGAACGCAGCCTGGCTCGCACATCTTCCACCAAACATTTGATCATGTCAAAATCAGATAGATGAGAAACTCAAGAAACTGCAGGGAGCTCACTCCTCCATGCTCCTTAAAACAACTCCCTGGGTGGAGAGAAAAAGTAAAAAAAGAAGAAAATAAATACAAATTAAAGGCCTGAAAAAACTTTCATTTATTGCATTCACCCTCACAAATATACTTTTGTTAGTTTTCCTGGTATTCAGAAGCTTTTTCTGTGATTACTTTCCTGCTCAGGCTTTGACTACACACATCGTTGGTGCCTTCAGGGTAAATGGCCAGCATTTGAGTCTATGCTCCTTACTAACAACATACGTGATTCTCAAACTTAACACACCTAAACCAAACTCCAACCATGGTAAGGCTAAACTCAAGCAAAAGGCTTCTGCTTCCATTTGTATCAAAAATATACAGAAGGTATCACCAAGAAGCAGGCGCAGAGCTGCTTTCCTCTCGTTTTTAGCTCAATCTCCTCACATAAATCCACAATGCCTCATTCTGCCAAAGAGCATCTGCTGTAATTCGTACAAGAAAGGAGTAAAGCGGACTTGGGAATGGGTGTGGGATACCGAGTAAGCTGTTCATGTGAAAGAGAACCCGCTATTTTCCAGTCCCGTCCTTGATGACTACTGGTTTCTCACTGGTATTCGAGGGGACACCCCTGCACCCCTCACGCAGAGCTCCCCAGGCAGCTTCGCACGCGCCGATCGCCCCCTCCGGGGCTCTGGTGCCCCGCTGGGTGACAGGTATCCAGGGGCAGAGGAGTGCAGCCCAGACCCGCCCCCGGGCCCGCCACCACACGCTCTCCCAGCGGCGCGCAGGCGCG